GCCCCACCTCCCCCACCCCGGCTGCAGATCACTGAGAACGGCGAGTTCCGAAACACCGCAGACCACTAGCCCACCCTGCATCACAGACCTCCTTCTCCCTCCCTGTGCACCCCACCTTGGAACGGCACCAACCACCAGGACTGGACGTCGCCGAGGGACAGCGGGATTACCTCCCTGAATGCCTCGCCGGGGGGCACCAGTCCCCCACCCCCACTGCACCATTTCCAGGAGGGAGAGCAGGGACCCTCAGCTGCTCCCTTTTCCTTCCTGTTGGGGTGCTTCCCCCTGTGACCCCCAGGAACCCTTGCCCCAGGACACCACCTACCCCACACAGACCCCTTCACTCCGGGGTGCTATCCCCATCCTCTGCCTCATCGTTCCCCTGAGCACTGGGGGACAGACCCTCACCCCACCGTGGGGGTGCGGCACCTCCAAACTTTCAACTTCAGGGTGATTTTTTTAGCAGTAACCAGAGCTGACAATCTAACTCCCCTCCACCGCCCCATTTTGGCCTCCCTTGTCCCCCTTGTTATGGGGAGGGGACCCCAGGTGAGGGGGCCCTATTACCCCTTGATTTCTCAGGAGCGTCTGGGGGGGCTCAGCACGCACAAACTCCTTCTCCTCCTACCACTCTTAAATTTACTCCCTCCCCACCCAGAACCCAGATGGGGTGGAGGGGCCACCGGGGCAGGGAGGGGGTGGCAAGGGGGGAATGGGAGTTGTCTCCCCTTCTTCCCATACCTGATCTGCTCTTGGCTGGTCCCAGAGCGGGGTGAGGGGGCTTGTGCCCCCCCCTCCCCCAGTGTGTTGGGTGGGGCGGGATTGAGGTTTGGGGGAGGGGTTAGGGTTTAGGAGCGGGTGTATGTTGGGGAGGACAGACTAGTTGATCTGCCCTACTCTGACACACACAGCCCCGCTGCCCCTCCCCTCTCTTTTCTTGGTCTCTACTCCCAGGGGGAGGGGGGAACTTACTCTAGGAAAAGCCATGTCTCTCTCCCCCAGGGTGGGGGACCTGTGTTGGAGGAGGGGTGTTGGGGGCCCCCTTCCATGACTCTGTCCCCCGGGGGAGGTAGGACAGGGCTGGGCTTCCCTCTCATCCTCCCCCCCCTCTCCAATCTCCCTCCACCTTCCTCCCTCCCGCCAGGTCCACAATTTTTCGGTGTTTCTCTGTACATAGCTCTCTGGCGGGATAGGGGAGGTAGGATGGATGGGGTTTGGTGTGGGTAGGTCACAGGAGGGGAGAAGCCTCTCCTTGGCACCCCCTCTTCCCTGACTGCTGTCCTCTACCCAGCCTTGCCCCCTCATCCCTTCTTGCGTTTGGTATTGAGACTCTTCCCAGACTCCACCCTTCTTTCTTTTGTATGGACAGTTCCCCTTCAGTCCCATCCCACTACACACATACACCCAGCCGGGGCCAAATTTATACTTATATAAAAGTTGTAAATATGTGAAATTTTATCCCTGTGCCCTTTCCTTGCTTTCCCAACCTCAGACCCTACCCCTGGACTCCCTTTCTTCTTCTCTTCTTTGGCTGTTGTAATTATCTGGGGTTTGTACTGTACATATCCAGGGTGTGTGTGGGGGGGGCTGGGGGCAACCCCTCTGTACAGAGCTTCCTGGCCCCCTCCCCCCCATGCTTCCCTCCCCCGGCCACCACCTTAAGGGTAGGGAGATGTTCTTCCTACCTGTTTTATTTTGTTTTCACATTCTCCCTCCCCACCCTACCCCACTCCCAGCCTACTCTATCCCCAGCCACTGTCCCTTTTTCTCCACTCCCAGCCCCATTTCCTTTTTTTCTGGAGTGTGTGGTGAAACAGAAAAATCATGTTTAATAAACGGAGATTGTTCTTTTATCGCGGTGCTTACTTTCCTAGGCTGGGACCTCCAGGAGGACCAGCAGGGTGATGAGCTGCTTTTTGAGAGGAAGCTGACAGCCTAGGAGAAACTGTATATCCTTGTGTGGTGCCGTAGTCTTCACCCTAGGATATCGCTGTCCCGACCAGCGAGGAGATTTATTGTTTTAGAGTAGGGGTTTTGCACTGGCCAAACTTACTCCGTCTCTCTCTCCCCTCACCACTGCACCATTTAACTCGAAGGAGTAAAGAGGTCAAGGAACAGCAGCATTAAATAAATAAAACATTAAAAAAAAAAAACCAGCATTCTCTGATAAAAGATTCCAAGTATACATCTACGTGTACCTTAAAAATAATTACCTAATTGGCAAAACTACATTTGTGAAACATCATCTGACTGGTGAATTTGAGAAGTATATAGCTACCTTGGGTGTTGAGGTCCATCCCCTTGTATTCCATACCAACAGAGGACCTATTAAGTTCAATGTATGGGATACAGCTGGTCAGGAGAAACTTGGTGGACTGCGAAATGGCTATTATATCCAAGCTCTGTGCCATTGTAATGTTTGATGTAATATCGAGAGTTACAAGAACGTGCATAACTGGCATAGAGATCTGGTACGAGTGTGTGAGAACATCCCCATCGTGTTGTGTGGCAACAAAGTGGTTATTAAGGACAGAAAGGTTAAGGCAAAGTCAACTGTCTTCCGCCGAAAGAAGAATCTTCAGTACTATGACATTTCTGCCAAAAGTAACTACAACTTTGAAAAGCCTTTCCTCTGGCTTGCTAGAAAACTGATCGGAGACCCTAACTTGGAGTTCGTCACCATGCCTGCTCTCGCCCCACCAGAGGTGGTCATGGATCCAGCGTTGGCAGCGCAGTACGAGCACGATCTACAGGTTGCTCAGACAACTGCCCTCCCGGATGAACATGATGACCTGTGAGAAAGTGAAGCTGGAGCCCAGAGTCAGAAGTCTAGTCTTATAGGCAACTGTCCTGTGATGTCGGTGGTGCAGGGTGTTTGCCACTTTATTATATAGCTAAGCAGAACATGTGCTTAATCTTTGGGATGCTGAAGGAGATGAATGGGCTTCGGAGTGAATGTGGCAGTTAAAAAAAAAAAACAACTTTTTTTTTGTACCTGCATATTAGTGTTTTGGAACACAGTTGTTTCCTCCTTGAGTTTCAAATATGAGTGCTACAGTCACATCAAAATATTCAGTGGTGGAATCTTGTTTGTCACTGTCATTCCCATTCCTTTTCGTTTAGAATCAGAATAAAGTTGTATTTTAAATATCTAAAAAAAAAAAATTACCTAGAAATGAAGTTTATTTAATTGCTAGAGGAAAAATAAAAATTAGTTCAAATGCTCCCGTGCGGAATGGAGGAAAGAACATGGTGCCTCAGCGATGTGCGGTCCAGCCCCAGGGCCACCACTTGCCAGCCTCGGTTTCCCCCGAGGAAACGGGATGGAAACACCTACCTCGCTGGTGGCGGGGCCCGAGGGATACAAGGTGATGCGGTCAATACGTAGCCCATACAGTAAGTGTCCGCTTAATCTCGCCCTCTCAGCACCTACTAGAGGCGGGGGCTAAGTTTAATCACCGGAGTGCACGCCCACCCTTTCTGCGGCCCGGCTGAGGCCAGCGGCTTCTCGCCAGCACCGCCTTCTCACCCGCGCAACCAATCAACATGAGGCTTGTAGGCTGGCGTCCCCCGATTGGCTGCCTCCCTGGCACCGCCCAGCGCCCCGGCGTCCGCGTCCGGCGGGGAGGCGGCGGCTTCCGGCCGGGGCGGTACGGTTGCTGCAGAGGCGCCTTGGACGCCGGGCCGCGTGTGTACTCTCGGGGGCGTGGCGGCGGGAAGAGCCGGGCGGCCAGCGCTGGCGGTCTCCGGGTGGCCGCGCCTCCCCTGGAGCCGGACTCTGCGGGCACGTGAGTGGGAGCGGAGCGGCGGGGAGAAGCCGACCCGGCCGGCGAGGTCCGGCTTGCGGCTGAAGGACCTCCTCGTCTCCACAGGCCCTGGAAGTTCAAGCCTCAGTTGGTGTTTTGTTGTGGTATGTTTTCGTTTTCTCGGCGGGGGAGTGCGTGGGACTGATCTGCCCGAACCGCCGCCGACTGAGAAGTTTTCACACGTTGGGGGGCAGGGGAGGCGGGCGTTTGAGGAGACACGGTTTCCCTCATCCAGAGCTTCTGTGACCCCGTCCCTTTCCTTCACAGCCCTCTTCCCGCGCGGGCTCTACCTCACCCCTCACCTCCTGTACTCGACCCCTCTGGGGTTTCTCTCTTCCCCAGGAGGCCATGGATACCTCGACGCCTTTCCCTCCCGTAGCCCCCTCCCCGGCCTGCAACCCAGCCCCACGGACGATCCAGATCGAGTTCCCTCAGCATAGCTCGTTACTCCTGGAGGCCCTGAACCGCCACAGGCTGGAGGGAAAGTTCTGTGATGTGTCCCTCCTGGTGCAGGGCCGCGAACTTAGGGCCCACAAAGCGGTGTTGGCTGCCGCCTCTCCTTACTTCCACGACAAACTTCTTCTGGGGGATGCACCACGTCTCACCTTGCCCAGCGTCATCGAAGCCGACGCCTTCGAGGGGCTGCTCCAGCTCATTTATTCCGGGCACCTCCGTCTGCCACTGGATGCTCTCCCTGCCCACCTCCTTGTGGCCAGTGGTCTCCAGATGTGGCAAGTGGTAGATCAGTGCTCAGAGATCCTTAGAGAACTAGAAAACTCAGGTGGTGGGATTTCAACTCGGGGAGCGACCCCTTTCCACACACTTCTTTCCACCACATCCTCTCCAGGAGGCTGGTGCATCCGCTCTTCCCCTTTCCAGACTG